ACCAAGATGGACTAAAATTACTCTGAAATCGTGAGCCAAAATAAACCCTCCCTCCCTTAATTTCCTTGACCAAGTATTTTGTCACAGGGATGAGAAAACCAACTAACACACCTCCTCTGTGGAATTCCGCTGTCCAAGTACAAAACAGAGAGAGATGCTGGCATGGGGAATAAATCAGTCAGGGTCATGAACAATCCCTGAGGAAATGCCACAAAATCTGAGACCAAAAAGCCAGGATAGGAATTGGCTGTAAACCAAAGGGGAAAGTAAGCCAGGGAGAGTATTCTGGCCCAAGAATTTCCAAGGTTAGACCAGACCAAGGGCATTAGAAAAAGGAGAACTGCATGACCATGTGGCCAGAGCGCAGAGACCCAGAGGGGAGCTCAGGGAGGAAGGCTTCGGCTGCTGGAAAGTAACCTTGAGCCTCTTTGTGGACGAGAAACTCAACAGGAACCTCAGGGCTCAGGATACAGTTTGTTCTAAATGGAAAAGCTCAGTGATGGTGCCACAGATGGGGAGGAATGGGCTTCTGCCTTCCAGTAGTGTGCCAGGCAGCTCACAGGGACTCAGGAGCCAATCTGCAATCAGTGACCTAGAGCTGCTAGTGAGCCACCAATGACATGCTTATACCCACAGACTGGCTACACCAGCCAGGCAGGCCATCCAGTCCAGCTGCCCCAGCACGGTTGGAATTCCTCTGCAGCCTTTTCCACCTACTAACCCAACCCTAAGAGGAGGCCGGTATCCCCCTACCCATAGTGCTACTGGTTACAATTGGGTGTTGTGATCTTTGCAAATCAGGAAGTGATCAAGATCGGGGAATTTTCTTCTCATTTGCCCTTAACCATCTAGAGACTGAGTAGCAGAAGTCTTGAAACCACAAACTTGAGAACAGACAGACATATTCCAAAAGTCAGCAGCCACTATAATTAGCTGTGTTACATAAGTGATGAAATCTTTGAGTTTCATCTACTAAAGGGAAATGTTAACACTATTCACCGTGTGGAGTTAGAAGGCAGAGGCAAGAAGATCTCTAAGAGTTTGAGGCCAGCCTGGTCTACCTAGTGAGTTCCAGGATAGCTGGGGCTACAGAGTGACCCTGTCTTTAAAAAAAAAAAAAAAAAAGTCCTCCCAATTGTTTTCAATAGAAACATCAGTAGAAGGGCTCAGGATGTGGCTCAGTTGGTAGAAGGCATAAAGCCCCGGGTTCAACACCCAGCACCACATAAACTGAGTGCGGTGGCATATGCCTGCAACCTCAGCACTCAGAGATGAAGGCAGGAGGACTGGAAGTTCAAGGTCATCTTCGGCTATATAACAAGTTTAAAGCCAGTCTGGGCTACATGAGACCCCTTCTGATGGAAGGAAGGAAAGAGGAAGGGAGAAAAGGAGGGAGGGAGGAAGGGAGGGAGAAAAGGAGGGAGGGAGAAAAGGAGGGAGGGAGAAAAGAGAGAGGAAGGAAGGGAGTGAGGAAGGGAGGGAGGGAGAAAGGGAGGGAAGGAAGAGGAGGGAGGGAGGGAGGGAGGGAGACTCTTCCAGCCAGATAGGATTTATTAGCAGTATTTGAGATGCCTGAAAAGAAGCTGGGGCATTTGACTGTGGACTAGGGAGAGGCTGAGCCATAGTAACTGGATGTGATTTTCCAACTTGCATCTATAAACAGTTTCAAAAACTTTTTTGGAAGAGCCAACTTGTCCAAGCTATGGTTACAAAATGTCCTTTCAAGGACATTTGGACATAGTTTTCTGACTTGAAATGTTGAGGTGGGGGAAGCGAGCATGGGGGAACAAACACAAGGCAGATTTGGGGAAAAGAAGGCAGATCCAGAGCCGTGGTACTCAAGGAGCCAGATGAAGACCCCTTCAGTAGTATATTCCCCCACTGCCACAGGCTCCCAGCCCAATGGGCTCCCACGTCTAAAAGAGCTGCAGCTGCGGGTGGAGATGGAGTAAAAAATTCCCAGGAAATCCAAGACACTGAACTCATATCTTCCCCGCTTTTCTGAGGCCCCATTTGAGCTAAAGGTACAGACTATAACAGTCGTAAAATTTCCAAATGTCTGCTTCCCTGGCCAAACTCAGAACAACTTTTGGATCCAGTAAGTACTTCTCTCCGACAAACAGGCTGAAAACCAGGTAAGACCCAAGCTGACAGCCAGGTGAGCTCCAGACTAAGACTTGACAGGTCGAGACTCAGGAGTCCCTCTACTGTGTCTGGTCTTTGTCCATAAGTTTGGTTTCTCCTGCCCATCTGTCACTGATACCCAGGCATCAGAGTGATGACCCAGAGACAGTGTGACCATGGGGTCATACATGCCAGGTTATGATGGGACTGACTCTACAACCATACCACCCTGAACGCGCACGATGTTGTCTGAATAGGATTAATTCAGAAACCAGCACCTACCAGCTGAATCAGCTCATTGGGCTCCCAGAAGCCAGTTTCCATATCTATAAAGGGGAGAGAAAATTAAGAACCATGTAAGGTCAGAAAATAACTGGTTTCATACATTACAACTAGCAAAAGAAAAGTTCTGGCTGGGGGTGTGGATCAGTGGTAGAGCACTTGCCTAGCATGGGTGAGGATCTAGGTTTGAGCTCCAACACTGCCAAAAAAGGAAGGGAAGGGGGACGGGAAGGGAAAGAAAGGGAAAGAGAAAATTCTGAGATGTCCTAAATCTAATGACAAGGGTCATAAGATGGACATGGAAAGGGAACAAGGAAGTGACTCATAACAGTTTCAGGTGAAACTTAACGAAGATGTCTCATCTTCTGACTGTCCAAGATAACTGAGCCATGTTTACATAGGAACTTTCTGGACTAACCCCGAATATCCCAAAAGTAGCACTTCAACCATCCCTATCCCAAAGCTGCCTGCCTCTCTTGCCTTAGCCTATGTGGGTTCAGTGTGAGCAGCTTATACCTTCTTTCCCTATTTTCCTTATAAAATCACTCTTCACTTTGTGTCTACTGCCATTTCCCACCTGATGTCTTGTCTTGCTGTTGGTAGCTTCGGAAACTTTCCAGAACCCCATTTCTTTTCTCCAGCCTCTGCTAAGGCTCAGTAAACCCTTATAGTTTCAAAATCTCTCCATCTCAGCAGTTTGAGGTTAACATAGCTAACATAATATAGCTAACATAATTTTAGAATAAAAGTGACTTTTCTTGTTGGAAACTAGTATATTTTTGATATTTTGAAAATAGTATATTTCTGGGGCTGGAGAGATGGCTCAGCAGTTAAGAGCACTGACTGCTCTGGCAGAGGACCAGGGTTCAATTCCCAGCACCCACATGGTGGCTATGAACAGTCCTTAACTCTGGTTCCAGGGGAATCCAAAGCTCTCTTCTGACCTCCGCAGCATTGCAAGACACGGGTGCACTCACATACATGCAGGCAATACACTCATACATATAAAATGAAAATAATAAATAAAAAGTAAAAAAAAATAGTATATTTCCGATACTATACTAATTTTAAGTTTTTTAATTAAAAAGTAGTTCAATCCTCCTGGTGTCTAGTATTGTCCCCCTCTCCATATATTGGTTCAGGATGCAAAGTCTTATCTACTGTAGATCCTGGGGCTTGAGAGTCCCTCCTTTCCTCATACATGGGCTCAGTCACATGGCAGACTTTTCAACCCTAGGATGAACAGAGAGGGCCAGGACAAGCAGGCGCCAGCTACCAGCCAGGGAAGAGAGGGGCCTCATAATCCTGCTTATCCATGATTCTCTGATGAGCTCTGAAACATCTCATACTGTAAATGCAACATAACGATTTATTTCTTGCACAGACAGGGCTGACCTTGAACTCTTGATTCTCCAGCCTCCGCCTCCCAAGTCCTGGGATTCCAGGCGTGTACCACCATCCCAGAACTGACACCTTATTCTAGCACTTGTTTTTCAGAATATTTTGATCATCTTGCTGTTGTTAAATAAAAACCATAAGAGGCCATTGTTGGTCTGGACCCGAATGCAACAGAGCCACCCACGCTAAAGGTTCAGTTCCCACTGAACCTGTTTTTTATTAACCTAAGAAACCTAGAAAAGCCAGAGATAGCAGCCTCATTTCCCAAAGGCCGGGGTTTTGTTGTCGTTGTTGTTTTGATATCTTTTATTTATTCTTTGGCAATTTCATACATGTAAACAATGTATTTTAATCCTATCCATCCCCAAGGAGTGGGTGCTGGGAACTGAACCTAGGTTCTCTGTAAGTGCTTGTAACCACTGAGCCTTTCCTCTCTCCAGTCCCCCTGGAAAGGCCAATTTTAACTGGCAGGTGATGAAGTTCCGTGTCCCTTAATCCTTACAGATTAAAAAGTAATCTGGGGGCGTTACTTTCCAATCCCCAAGAGTAACTTTGAAAGAGCAATCGCTTTTACTTAGGGCCCCTTCTCTGCTTGCAAAACCCGCCTTCCCTGCCTGGTCCTTAGGAACTTTGTTTAAGGAATGAAGTGTTCCTTTGTTCTGGAATAGAAAACAATGCCTTCAGCAACGTCCTTCTCGGTGACTTTAGAAGAGTTCCCGTTTCACCTTCTGCCATGATCTTTAAGTGAGGAAGCAGGAATGCCAGTCTTCTCCAAGTGCCGCAAGCTCCAGACTGACGGGGGCGGGGTACGACACAAGCCGCACGCGGGATTCTCGCAGACTCAGGTAGGAAATGGAACACCCAGTTTCTTCCCGGGGAAGGGGCTGGGCTGCCTTCCTGGCTCCGCCTGCAGTTTCTGAGACGGGTCACACTGACCTTGAACTCTGCTCTGAGTCCTGGCCACTCGGTTGGCACCGGAACCCCTGTGTTAATCAGATGCAGGTTTTCTCTCCGGATTCGCACTCACCCCCTGGCCCAGCGGAGCGGCTGGGAGGTGACACGGGGCGGCCCCAGGTGGATTCCCGCAGCTGCAACGCCAAGGCTCCGCCTCCCTCGGCCCCGCCCGGATCGGTCACCTGCGGGTTCCGGGACCCGGCGGAGGGCTGCAGGCGGCGGGCACCCCGGCGGGGGCCAGGCCCCGGAGACCGTGATGTGGCAGGCGGGCGGGTGGGCGCCCCTGCTCCTGTGCCTGATGCTCAGCGCCCCAGGTAAGAGCGCCCCGCGGGGAAGGCGAGGCCGGGGCCCTACCAGAGCTCCCGGGAGGGGACGTGGGCTGCTGCCGGGCCACCCAGGGCGCCCCGGGACCCTGCCCACCCGCCGTGACTTTCCTGGGTCCCTGAATGAAGCAGATCAGAGCCTGGAACTCCTTCCGGGAAGAAAGGAACCGGGTTTCCCAATTCCAGGCCGGCTCCAGGGGGGCGTGGGGGAGGCAGAGGCGGTTCCAAACGCTAACAGCTTTGGTTGACCAAGAGCTTTTGAAGGTTCACGGTACCTGCGTTCATACCTCCTTTGACCCTCGCTAGGAGAGGAAGTGGGACGGACGGAGCTGCCCTCCTCTTCCTCTGGTTGTGGGTGTCTGACTCTCTGCCCAGCCACAGGGACAGAGTTCTTATTGAGCTGGTCCCTCGAATGGGGCATCTTAACAGGGCACTTCCTCCCAGCTTCAGCTGGCAAATCAGGCAGCAGGACCTAGCCACGGAACCCCCCCCCAAAGGAACCCCAACTTTCCATCTCTCCAGCTGCCCCAGGGGAACAGAACCCCCTCCCCACAAGAGCCATGGGAATTATCTTCCAAGTCTTAGACTCAAAAACAGAAGGGCTAGGATTCTTGCACCAAGCAAGTAATCATAAAAAATAACATTTTCAGAAGTTTCTGTGTGCTCAGCTAACCAGCTGTCTTATGACTTAGCCTCAGTTTTCAGATGGGAAACTTGAGTCTCTGGACAGTTAAAAGAGTTGCCCTTGAAGGACCAGAGGGGACTGAGAGGCTGGAGAGTGGGCACGGGAGCAGGTCTGTCTGTGCTCTGGGAACCCCCACAGCACCCTAGTAGTATTTTTGAGCTAGTGAGAGGCATGTACCTGTGGAGGGGGCCTTCCATTCCAATCACAAACCGGCTGTGTCATCTCAAGAGCTTGGTTAACTTTTGTTCCATGAAGGGGCATGAGTGACACCTGCCCTAGGGAGTAGGGGAGTTCTGTCCTGAGGACTGAATGAGGTTTTACACCAATCCTGGAACCCTTTGAAGACTCTAAATTGTATCTTTTCCCATGTGACAAAGCTTAATCTTTGGGCCTATCCTGCTCCTGGGTACCTTCAAGTAAGGAGCTTATGCACAGATTGGCTTCCTGCTGGGTACCTACTGGGAGCTAGGTGTAATGACAGAGGCTGTATCTCAGGATCCAGCTCCAGGGCACTGGACAGGGTTGGGGACAGCCCAGGCTGGAGCAGGGCTGGCCCTTCCTGGTGCCTGAAGTTTATGGGTTCCCATGATGACCCATGTGCCACAATTCATAGAATCATGAGCTCCCATGGGGCGAGAGAGGGAGCTCTGCTTCCTTTAGTTCCCTGGCTCAAAGAAGTTCGCAGGTAGCATGATTAAAAGCAATCAATGCGTATGTTGGTTCATTTTTGTAATTCCAGTGCTCAGAAGGATGAGGCAGGCAGATAACCATGATTCGAGGCTAGCCTGGGCTACAAAGTGAGCTATTGTCTCAAAAGTAGTCAATAGGGGGACAATTAGATGGCTCAAAGGGTGAGGGCTCTTAATGCCAAGCCTAATGACCTGAGTTCAATCCTCGGAACCTGCATGGTAAAAGGAGAGAATTGATTCCTGAAAGCTGAGCTCTGAGCTCCTCAAGTATACCATGGCACTCCCCCCAATCAATCAATCAATCAATCAATCAATAAATGTAAAAAGTGGTCCATGGAAAAAATAAGACTGAGAACCTGGAGGAGGAAGCAAGCCAAGAGCTCAGACTTAGGGGTTGGCTGGGCCTAGATTTGAGTCGCTGAGAGGGCCTCAGTTTCCCTACCTTCACTGGGAAAATCGGAGAGCACTCACATCCTGGGAAATAATCCTAGTGAGAAAATGCAGGCAGAGGGCTTAGCACAGGGGGGCTTGAAGCTTCAACCCATACCCAAGGAGCTATCGCTACTTTCAATATCATCACCAGCTCTTCTTAGAGATGTCAAAGAAGGCTCCCTGGAGGAAGTGATACTTGAATCAAATCTTTCAAAGGTTAAATGGTAAACGTCAGGCAACCCAAGACACCTGGGTTTACAGACATCTGAAATAAGATAGTGGTTTGGAACTGGTGGTCTTGTGAGTTTGTGGGGAGCTGTTGGAGAAGTCAGCCAGATCACTCAAACAAGTCCTCAGACACCCCAATGAGGAGTGTGGACTTTATTATAAAAGCAGGGGAAGGGCAGGAAACCTGGATATGGTGCAGTCAGCCAAGGTAATCAATGAAGTAATTAAAAGAGAGCTAGAGGTCACTTAAAGATGGCCAGAGAACATGTCATTGAGAGGTAGTGGCTTGAAAGAAATTTGACAGAAGCTGAGGAGTGAGAACCAAGGTGGACGTCCAAGGGACGCCCAGATGATGGGAACGACACGTGCAACAGCTCGGAGCAGGGCGTTCCTAGGGTGCTCCCAGAAGTCCCCAGGCCAACACGGTAGGAAAGGAGGAAGGAGGACAGGGAGAGGCACGGGTCACATTGAGTAGCAGTTGAGAGGTGCCAGGTAAGACTTTCGAGTTTATTTGAAGTGGGATGGATGGAAACCTCAGAGGGTTAAGCAGGATATGGTATAACCTTCATTTTAACTCTGGCTTTTAGGCAGAGGGTGGATGGAGGACACAGATGTTATGAGAGCCCTCAGCTCAACTTAAAGAAGGATTTCTTTTGGCACAGGATTTCAGAGGGTCTAAGTCCAGCATGGCGGGGAAGGTACAGCACAGCAGCTCTGTGACAGCAGGAGCTGTGCCTGTGGTAAGGGCTGTTCATAGTGCTTGCATCCAAGCAAAGAGGGTGTCTGGAACCAGGCCTGGGTATAACCTTCAAAGGCCGACCCCCGGTAGCCTACTTCTGCCAGCCAGGTCCCACCCCCTAGAGGCACCACTGGCTGGGGACAGAAAATTTAAAATATGAGCCCATGGGGTGCATTTCAAGTTGAAACCATAACGCACCAGATACCCTTTTTTTTTTTTTTCGTCTTTTTAAGACAGTGTCTCCCTGTAGCCCCAGATGTCCTGGAACTCACTATGTAGACCAGGCTGGCCTCAAACTCACAAAGATCCGCCCACCTTTGCCTCCCAAGTACAGATATGTCTTTTACCTGGTAGAATGCTAGGACCTAATTATCCAGCCCACAACCAAGTGTCCCTCCGAGGAAAAATTTGTTTATACTGATAGATGTCTTTGTGGTTCTTGTCTAACTGGTGTGTATACTTTATGTCCAAAGGGCGCTGGCCTTGTATTCCCCATAGTGTCCTAACAACAGCCTCTAGTTCGACAGCCTCTAGTTCTTCGATGAAATGTGCAAATTCAGTACACCATCACAGGAGGAAATAAGACCAAGGAATGTATTACTCAAAGATCCTGGGAAAGGAGGGTGTAATAAGACGGGAGGGCTGTCCCCTGTCCCCAGGTCAGGTGAAGCAGAAGTGCAGGTCAGGCAGAGAGAGAAACAACTTCAAGTATATATGGAAACAGACAGGGAACCTTAAGTTCACAGGCCTGAATGATCTATTTAGATAGGAATCATCTGGCAATGGGCAGCACCATGTGCTAGGTGGAAAGACGCCTGTCGGTCCTTCTCTCTGGCCTGGTCGTTTGGGATGGCCATCCTGCCCCCACTGCTGAGGCAGCAAGCTTCATTCCATCAGGCAGGGAACAGAGAGACTTGGGAGAGCCTTTTGAGAATATAGCAATATCCATTTACCCCCAAAATATCATATATGTACTGTGTCTCAGGGGTCATTACAGGCTGACACTGGGATCATGCTAAGAAGACAGAGATGGCTCAGTGGGTAAAAGTGCTTGTGGTGCAAGCCTGATGACCTGAGGTCAATCCCTGGGGGGACCCGTGCTGGAAGGAGAGGATCAACTGCTGAAAGTGATCCTCTGACTTCCATGCGTATGCTGTAGCATGCACACACACATATACATCATACATACATACATACACACACACTAATGAGACATAAAATTAAGATAAGGGCCTGGAGAGATGGCTTAGTGGTTAAGGCACTGGTGGCACTTGCAGAGGACCCAAGTTTGATTCCTAGCACCCACATGGCAGCTAACAACTGTCCATAACTCCAGTTCCAGGGGATCCAACGCCTTCTTCTGGCCTCCTCAGGCATTGCATGACACAGGTGCATTTGCACACATGCAGGCAGTACACTCATACACATGAAATAATTTTTTTTTAATTAAAATAAAAACAAGCATTTGCTCTAAGAATCTTCTGGAACCCAGGAGCAGGGTGAGGTCACTGACTGACTCCTACCCCATCTATGGGGTAGAACCTACTCTTGGGTACCAGAGTACCTGAAGCCTCCTCTCAGGGCATAAAAGAGATGCTGAGGCCTGGGTGGGAAAGGGGCTGCAATACAGCCAGTTGGTGGCTGCTGGGTTCTCATGGGTGGCAAGTAACTGAGCGCCCATCACACTGCTCTTTCTTCAGCCCTGAGTGCCTGTGTGAAGTCCAGCCAAGAGTTCCAGCCTCCATAACCTCTTTCTCTCCCATAGGAAGACCCCGTCTAGTCCCACCCCAGAACGTGATGCTGCTCTCTCAGAACTTTACCGTGTACCTGACGTGGCTCCCAGGGTTTGGCAGTCCCCGGAACGTGACCTATTTCGTGTCCTATCAAGGGTACAGGGGATCCTCCATGCTGGTGGGTGGGGAGATGGGGGAGGTGGAGACAGAAGAGGCTTCTCCTGGCTAACTGCATTCCATGCAATGGAATGGACAGCATGTGACAGTTCTCTGTGTCCCGGAAGGGCTCATGTGGAAGGTCCATGGAGAGGAGCTTTTAATGGAGGTTGGGTTGGAGGTGGTGGGAAGGATGCTGAATGGAGAACAGTAGGTGACAGGATGGGCTGATCTTTGAATAAAGTTGGAGTAGGGCTTGGGTGAACTGGGAAGACTATGGCACAGGGGCAGAGGTGCTTGCTTGGGGCTGTTCTAGCCAATGAGCAAAGGCAAACAGATGACCAACTGTCCGGTCCTGCTTCCTACAGAGCCTGGAAATTGAGCTGGGCAGAGCTTTGGGGCCCTTCTCATATTGGAAGCCCAGACTGTCGCTAGAGGTGTCTGAGAAGGGAAGTCGGTGCACCATCTTTAAGCGAGGGTGGGATGTGGCAAAGGATGTTGTCAGTGGGAAAGCAGGAGGATGGGGCAGATACGCGCTTGCAGGACCAGTCTGGACTTGGACAGGGTGGAACAGGAACAGGGACGAGCTAGCAGGTTCTCAAGACTCACCATGGGCAAAAGAGTGCTAAGGACTTGGGTGAGAAGGTGAGTTCCTCTTCACAGGCTCACCAGGCAGGCACGGTTTCCTCCATGTTGTAGATGAGGAGCCTGAACTCCCAGAGTGCTCTGACTTGGCCCCAGGAAGCTAGTGATAGGTTCAGAGGAGAAACCCAAGTTTGTCTGGCTAGAAAGCTTGTGCAGCTTCCTGTCCTATCAGGGTCCCCACATCCGTAGGATCCAGATGTGAGGAATGGGGCCCTGGCTAGGGCAAGAACACCAGGCAAGATCCATACCAGGAGGCAGGAAGTGCCCATTAACTGTGTTTGCTGTATGCTGTGTACTGTGTCAGTACATTACCAGTACCCTCTTGATGGCTTATTTTGTTTTGTGGTGCTGGGGGCCTTGCACATGTTAAGCAGGTGTTCTGCCTCAGAGCCACATGTCCAGCCCTATGTCAACCCATTCAATATTATATTCAATCTCACAATTGCTCTACGGAAAGGCTGAGTACTCTGCTTTACAGATGAGGAGACTGAGGCACTCTGGGTATATGTTGCTCAAAGTCAGTCACACAGGTAGAGGTGACGCGGCTGGTATAATTCTGTTAAGGTACTGCAGGCGCATCCTCTGAATCATCATATTTTACTTCTGTTATACTTTTTTTTTCATTCCATTTATTTATTTACTTTGTGTGTACATATGGAAGTCAGAGGACAGTTGGTTCTTTCCACCATGTGGGTCCTGGGGATGGAAAGGGGTCAGGTTGTCAGGCTTGGCTGCAAGCACCCTTACCTGCAGAGCCATCTTGCCAACCCCTGTTGTACTTTTGAAAAGGACATAAGGATTGCATTATGGTGGAGCTAATTGTGCTTTCTCATTCATTAGTTGGGATTGTTTTATAAAGAGGTGCATTCCCTTATGTAGTATTTGATATCCAAGGGTACTCTTCAAGACAAGAGCTGGGTGTGGTGGCTCACACCTTTAATCCCAGCACTTGGAAGGCAGAGGCAAGTTGATCTCTGTGAGTTCAAGACCAGCCTGGCCTACATAGTAAGTTCCAGGTCAGCTGGGGCTACAGGGAGATCCTGTCTCAAAAAAGACCAAAAGCAAAAATAGTCAAATAGGTAAGACAAAGTAAATGCTTGACACCCTCACCCAAATTATTTACTAGTTTCCAAGACGTATTAGTTCCCTATCTTCTCCCAAAGGTGACTGATTAGTAATTAAGCATAATTTATGATGTCGATCCATTGCAGCTCAGTGTCTGCGTTGAAGCTTGTGTCCCATCTGTGGCCAGCTAGTCTTTCCAAAGTGGCCTTGGTGGCCTTGGAATCCTCTCAGTTTGACTCTACAAAGATTACCTTTCCTCTAGATAGCAATAATAAAACACATACTTCATGTCCAAGTTCCCACGAACCGTTTCTTTAATGCCATCTAGACCTAACACACACCTCAAAACGCTCCAGCCTCTGTTACCAGGTGCCAAAGCCATACCCACAGGTCTAGACACTTGTTACATCAGTGCCTTGTTTCCAGTCCCCAGATCAACATTAGTTTGCTGGGCTTCTGTAATCAAATCGATAGACCTGTGGCTTAAGCAGAAGCCATTTATTTCTTACCACCCTAAAGATCAGTAGTTCAAGATCAAAATATTAGCAGGCGTTATTTCTCCTGGCCTCCCTCCTTGTCTTGCTGGTGGCTGTGTTTGAATGAGTCCTCTCCAGCCTTGTCCTCTGTGTGTGTGTGTGTGCGTGTGTGTGTGTGTGTGTGTGTGTGTGTGTGTGTGTGTGTGTACATTACTCCTCGTGGTTTGTCGCACTAAATTTTTTCCCTTTTCCCTTCTTGGGAGGCACGTGCGCATGCCCTCCAAGGCCCCAGGGCTCACAGACTAACATAAGACATTTTTAAAAAAAATAATTCTTAGAACTGTATATATATATATTATTTATTTTTATTTTATGTGTATGTGTGTATATTGCCTGTGTGTAGGTAACATAAGACATTTTTAGTTTGGGTTTTGTACCATTTTATATGACACTTGGGGGTATGGGGTGACTTACAAAGAAACGGCTTCTCAGGACTCACGCATCACTCAAGCCCTGCTCACAGCGACCATTAGCGGCCTCGTGCTGCCGTACCCAGCGGGATGCTGCCGTTAGCCCTGGAGGCCCCATGCACGCTTTCTCCTTCCAATCTCGCAGCCGCTAGCGCTGCCAGTGGCTAGGCTCCACCCCTCTTCCCAGGGTGTTCCTGGTCTTGCCCCTGGCTGGCTCACTTTTTTTGGAGGGATGAGTCATTTTGGGGCTATACTCCCCTGCTTTCCTCCAGCTCTGACAAACTTTCCGCCATTTCTTCTGCAAAATTCCCTGAGCCTTGGAGGGGGTAGCAGATACAGGGTGATCTCTCTGGTATCATGGTGAGATATTGACCTCTTGGGCCTCCCCATCATCTGTCAGATATGGTCGTTGATCTATCTCAGCGGTGTATCCCCTGCTATAAAGACGAATGGAAGGAAGTAGACACATCTAAACAAACATGACTATAAATACAAATGCCTAGAAGATATCCCAGTAGGTGTACCATATCCATTAAACAGTATACTTGCAACAGCTTTCCCACTGGGGCCTGTAGCCTTCCCTGACACTGGGGCTTGGCCTGGTCTATAGCACCAGATGTGTGTTTGTCTCCCGATTGGCTGGTTCCTTCAATGGGCGTGGCATGGCTCAGAGCAGTCCTCCAATGGGCGGGGCCTGACGCAAAGGGTCTGCTGGGAGCCATGTTGGGACGGAAATCAGGAGCCCTGGATAGCGCTAGTAGTGTGGGGAACGCGCACCCAGCCGCAGCAGCTCAAAGACAGAATGGACTGACTCCTGTGGACCCCGGGCGAGATCGCTGGCCCCCGGCATGAGCGAATGCTAGTGGGGACTATGGTAGTTGGGGCACTGTCTGATATGGCGGGCTCTGAGCCGTGCCACCAGAGGCGTGGGGCTAGGCACTTGAGTTCTCATTCCTTTGTAAATTAATTAACT